GAAACAAGATAAATCAAACGAAAAATGGAGAAAAATGTGTATTTTGCACTCACGACGTCCATCATGGCGTTAGCCATAGAGGTAGGCGTGATGTGGTTGATGTGGCCTACATCGCAACGGCTACAAAGATTGGGTCTACGCATTTTAGGCATGTGGCGTTTGCCATAAGGGGTATGGTGTTTGCCATCCCTTATAAAAACGAAGCAGTCAAGGCAGTTGGAGAATAGTCATCCCACTTCTCCCTTTTGCATATCACACGGACCCAACAATCATAAATTCTTTTACAAGGTCTTGTAGCACTAATAATACATGTTAGAACTCACTTTTGAGGACATCCAACCTTAGTCCAATTTAAGTCATATATTTATCATTTGAAAGCTTTAATTCTTCACATCGGAGAGTTATTGCGTTGTTCTTGTATTGAGTTTGAAAGAGTTTATTTTGCCATCATTTACATTACCATTCTAGTTTTCTGTCAATTTACTTTGAACCAGATTCAAGTCTCCGTTAGGAGCATATTTTTATTATTATCAGCATCTATTTAATTCCTTCTGCCTGTTTACTTTATATGCATGCTTGTTATTTTCTTGTCTTGCTTTAATTTCAAACTTTAATTTATCAATTGCATGTTCTAAATTTTAATTGATATGCTTAATATGTTTAATTCTAAGTTTCAATCAAATGTTTTATTTTTAACCACGAATATGTCCAGCTAATCTGTTAGTGCTGGAATGTGACTACCGTCGATTGACGGTACTCTACCTGTTATTCCTTTAGAGTTATTTTTCGGTCTGTTTTTGTATTATTCATTTTTTTATAGTTTAAATTGATTGGTTGCGAGTGTAGAACCATATATATATATATATATATATATATATATATATATATATATATATATATATATATATATATATATATATATATATATATATATATATATATATATATATATATATATATATATATATATATATATATATATATATATATATATATATATATATATATATATATATATATATATATATATATATATATATATATATATATATATATATATATATATATATATATATGTTTAGTTTTTTATTAATAAATACCGCGAGAGCAATTTATTAATTAATTAGGAGAACTTAATATTTTTAGATAGTGATTTTAAAACTATTTTCGGACCCGTTTATTAGTTTAGAATCTGGTTGACCAAGCGAAAGCTGAGAACCCTTTTAAGTTAAACTTTCTAATCAAAATCAATTTTCAACTAAGTAAAAGAATCTAATTTCTAAAAAAGGTTTTCTACATTAACGCAAACATAATCGGGCACGCGATAGCGAACAATATTAATTAGATAGTAAAACCCGGTTACGAATACGCGAGAGCGACAATTTCTTTTTAATTAATTCTTTCTCGTTGAGATTCGCATTCCAGTATTACATTTATGAATTTATTCATGTTTATTATTTTATTTTTGTTGTTCCTATTCCAATTCTTATCTCGTTTGTCTTAGATAAACACCGTAGCAATAGTAAACGATAGATTAACCATTAGGCTTTATGGGTTCGAAACTTTTTATACTACTCTGATACACTTCGTATACTTGCGGAAAGCACCCATCAAGTTTTTGGCGCCGTTGTTGGAGACCAATTACGTCAAATATCGTATCCTGTTGTTACACTGTCTAGACTAAAACACCCCTTTCAAATTGAATTAGAAAATAATAATATAAAAATTAAATTATGTTAGAAAATTACAACTTACATTTATCAATATTTTATGAGATTTATGCAGCCTAATACCCATATCTCGATCTTTGACGGATATAATTTGTTTCAATACTTCTAACTCTTCAAGTAACACTTTCTTTTTATTAGTTCATTTTGCAATATTACTAATACTTTGCAAAATCAACTAGTAGTGAAGGTGTGTTGGTTGAAGAGTTATAAGCATTTAATCGAATTTTAACTATTAAAGAGCGACATATAGATAATGAGTTGTAGAAAGTTAGAAAAACATTGATTAGTGTAACTTATTCTTCTAATATAACTCAAATTTTGATATTATTAATTTCTATATCAGATTGAAAGATTATATATTTATTGAGCAATTAGTGAAAAGAATCTTCCATATATACTATATAGTAAACTCCAGTGAATATATCGCCACGGTTGGAAGGTTGATCCGTGATGAAAAGTTGTATGCTAAGTATTTTACTACGGGTGAAACATTCAACTCTGGTGAAATTAATTTCTAAAATTCTCTCACAATACTGACTCTAAGTACCAATACATAACTTTTAGCTTTTATTATGGTTGTTTTCTACAACTGTAGTGATATGTTACATACTTCTTTGTTTTTACCACAACTAACAACCTGTGATAGTAAAGAGGACACATACAATCACACTCTTTATTATCACGAACCACCAACCGTGATGAAATTTTTAGTGGATATGTTTTAATGTCATTTTAAATTGAATTGTGTTTGCTTATTTTTAAGTTGATTTTTGTGGTAGTTATGTTATTTAAGGAAATAATATAGAAGAACAAAATTGAAAGAAATAATATTTCATGTTGGTTTAATTGTGAGGGGATGTAAAATATAGGCATTTCACATCTGCTATGCAGAAGAAACTGGTGTGAAAATTATGAAACTAAATGAATAAACAATCTTTTTACATCTATAAAAAAATGATTGTACGTGAAATATATATTTTACATCGATTCAAGAACCATTGTAAAAAGTACTAATATACTATCAATACATAGAATGATTGTATGTGAAATATATATTTTACATCGGTCAAACCAATGTAAAAAGGTAGTAATATATACTACATCGCCGGTCAATACATCAAGAACCCACGTTGAAAAACATCTACAATTCATGTTAAATGTTTTTTTTCTAATAGTGAGACCTTCATATGGAATTCCATGAATAAAGCCATAGATAGTGTGCAAGAATGATATGTTTTAAGAGTTGGCTATGGAAGTACTTCATTCTTGTATGATGTTTGGTTATTTAGAAGTCTATCGTACCAACATGTGGACTATGTGGCCATCCAAGATACTCAAATTAAGGTTTGAGACTTATCAGTTAATGGTTAGGGACAACTCAACCAAATTTATAGTATTCTTCCTAACTACATTCAAGAGGCAATAAATGACTTTCATATCAACATCAGCACTGCTATTGGAGATTGCTTCATTTGGAAGAGTATCTTAGAAGGTCGAGATATAACTGCATTTGTGTGCATTATTATGAATAGAAAATGCATAAATTGATTTGTATGATGAATTTGGACAAACTCAAAATAAGCTTGAATGATCATGTTTTAGGTAAACAAAAATCATTTAATGGTGTTAATAAATCATAACTCTATTAGGTTGTTATCCAAGCAAGAAATTATAAGTTTGTGATAATGCTAACTAGTTGATTAAGTGATAGAATTATTTTAACTAGATGACAAAAATTAATTAGGTTTAATGATATGTGGAAATTGAATTTTAGATTGATAGAAATTGATTTAGGAAAGTAAAAGTATGATAGTTGTATAAGTGTAGAAGACATTACTTTTTAAAATGTACATAGTGATGACAATTGAACTTATCTCTAACGAGTATCAACAAAAAAAAAATATTTATAATAAATAGGATAAGAATTTGTAAAATAGATATGGATATCGGAATGCATAATTATTTAGGAAAATAAGAGGATATGGATATGAGTACACTTACTTTAATATTTATCCTGTTTCATATTTGTATATTATATATTTTTATTTCTTAACTCAACTATTTTATATTTAAATGATAAATTATAAATAATATATATTTTTATTTATTAAAAATACAAATAAATAAATATGAGTATGAATACTTAAATATTTATAAAATAAAAATACAAACATCATTGTTGTTTGGAATCGAATACAAAGATATTTTCAAACCTCGAATATGGAAACAAATATTAATGTACTATGTCCAAACTTTTTATGATCATCCCTATATAAAAGTCAATTTATGAAAGAAAAAAAAAAGCAAAATTAGTAAGAAATATAGAGTTAATAATTAAGACATACATTATTATTTTTTTAAATATAGAAATCGATTTTTAAGAGGAAAGAAGTAAATAAATATTGATATTAATAACTAAGGATAAGAGGCTTACTCAAATCAAGTTAATGAATTTATCCAATAAGCTTGTTATGTTTATAAAAAAAATATAATTAGCAAAATTTCCTGTAACTTATATTATATTATCTTACAAAACAATTTTGAAGTAAAAAGAATCACATCCGACAATTATATTATTTTAAGAGTATTTTAGGATATACGTCAATAAATATATAAACAACTTATACTTATATTCTAAACCAAGAAAGTATTCTTTTGTAAAACACCAAAATCTATTTAACTCTTATTGAATTTTCTTTACTTTGTCTTAATATAGATTTGTAACCAAAAACATAGGGTCCTCATTAGAAAATTAGTCATAATTTTTTACTTTTGACCATTGAATCATAAAACACATCTACATACATTGAATCAGTGAACCCTTATGTCCTACAAGCTCCTTTTTATTGGAAGTAAACGTGTTTTTCTTTGCTTTGTTTTTCTATAAGTAAACATCTTATTTTTATTTCCAATAACAAGTATTTTATCCCAACCCCTTATATTTATTACTCTACCCTATCAAATTTTAAAAGTTCTCAAATTTATCCTTTTTAAATTTAGAAATTTTTTCACCCTTACACAAATTTTCACCCCTGCATAATTTATTCATGGGTAATTTAAGTTTTTGTGTGTAATAATTGTCATGAAAATATAAAATTACCTAGAAATAAGCTCTGGGTAAATTTTTTGATAAAAAAAATAAATCATCTGAACTCAGTCCCTACAATTCATCGTGTCAGCATATTTTGTTGAAATAATTATTCAACTGTTAGATACCTAATAGTAATACTGTAACATAATGTACAAAATAAAATTTTTAAAAAATAACTATCAAAAAATTAAAAAATCCTCATTCTCATTGAGACTACTACTCAATTTATCAACCCACCCTGTTTTATCCTCACCATTAATCTTCTTATCTTCCATTTTATTCTTTTTCTCTTCATTATTATCATCACCACACGGAAAAAACACTTCATGAACAAAAACCTCCACATATTTTTTGCTATACCCTTTCGTATTCTCATTCTCAACTTCAATACAAGGAATATAAGGTGGTCTTGCCAATTCAACCACCCTGTCCCACATAACTTCTTTGAAGAAATCATGACCCTTGATTTCATCCAGCTTTATCCTACGGTCAGGATCCTTTTCCAACAATTTGCGAATCAAGTCCCTTAACGCCGTTTTCTCACCCGTTAACTCAGGTTCCTTTGACAAAATCCTGTAAAACGTTTCTTTCCTATTCGTCCCGTTAAACGGCGTCGTCCCATACAACATCTCGTGTAAAACGACACCTAGCGACCACCAATCAACTTCGAAACCGTGACCTTTTCCAAGTACGATTTCAGGTGCCACGTAATCTTCCGTTCCGACGAACGAATTTGATTTTTCAACCGATCCCGACTCGTTTTTACTCACTGAGTTCACACCGGGTTGCGAGTCAAAATCCGAGTCACACGGCGAGATACCCGAGTTACAACGGTAGAATCTCGAAAGCAACCGCTTCGTCACGTGCTTCTCTTTTGATAAGCTAGATCTATTCGACGAGTCGTGACTCAGTGACTGAGGTGGCGATTTAGGTTTCAGCTTTGTAGATAGATCGAAATCTACGAGCATTATGTGACCGTTTTCTTGAATCATCACGTTCTCTGGTTTCAAGTCTCTATACACTATTCCTAAATTATGAAGATACTCCAATGCAAGAACCAATTCAGCAGCGTAAAACCTTCACCAAAATAAGAATAAAAAAAAATCAGAATCTAATTTAAAATTTGTATATAATAAAAGATATTGATTATTGATCGAATCATGTACGAAAATTTTACCTAATGGCATCATCGGAGAACATTTTCTCAGTTTGTTTCTTTCTGAGAGAATGGAGGTTACCGCCATGGCAATAATCAATGGCGAACCCAACGATTTTCTCGGTTTCGAAAACACCTCGCAACCGTGGTAAAAGAGGATGATCAAAACGACGTAGCACTTCTTCTTCAAACGACGCTCTCTTGTATTCTCCATAGCCTTTTGAATTGTTCTTTGCTTTCTTTTGATGTATAAGAGCTTTTGATGTTACTTTCAGAGCAAGGCACTCGTCTGAAGACCGGTAACCGGTTCTGGCTAGAAACACGACGCCCTTGGCGCCGCGTCCTACGGCGGATATGACTTTTAGTTTTTTGAAATCTAAGGGTTTTACTGTTTCGGTTGGGTTGTTTTCGCTGCCGTTCATAGTGCAGCTGACCGGGTACCGGGAAAGAACCGGGTAAATATTTTTTAGTTTGAAGTGAAGTTTGGTTTGTAGAGGTATTATAAAGCTCAAAGCGTGTTTGGTACGTTGTTGTTTCCTTTCTTGTTGGACAAGAATTCAACGTTTGATCATGTGAGTTAATTGAACTTAAGGTTTTTCTTTTTTATATATAGATAGTTTGAACCGTGTATGTTTGTGACACGTGGTGAAAATAGTGTGTGATGAATGTGTAAAGTTGTTAGTGATGAAGAAATAGCGTTGGAAGTTAGAAAGAAGAAAGTGTGAGAACGTGATACCCAAGAGACAGCAAATGGTGGGTTGAAAATTGCGCGTGTGGGATTTCTAGAATCCGTTGCACTCGGGCTAGGACCAAGGAATGTGTCAATATCAAATTCAATGTCGGGGTATATAGTAATAACACTGAACCCGAAAAAAACCGACTCATGTTTTGGTTTTTTATTAAAGATATTTATATTAGTGGAAGCATGATAATATATGTGATGATGCTAGGGAGAAGTATCTTAAAAATAAATTAACATATTCATATATGAAAATTGCGTATAAAGAGGTAAAATATAAAATTTACTTGTACTTTATTAATATGAACTCAGGTTGAGTTTGAGTGATTTTTAAGGTGTCAAAGCCACGGTAATTATAAGTTTTTCCTTCACTTATAAATTAGTTTCTCATATAATTTTTATAAATTAGTTTCTCATATAATTTTTCTTTTATTTTCACTTTGTTCTTTATTAAAAATAACTAAAGTTATCAAAGTCATTAAATTCGTGAACTGCAATAAATAAAATCTGATTTATGTTTGATGTTTATTTAACGGTGCATAAATTAAATATGTGTTGTTCAAATAAAGCTAAAATGAGAGGAAAATAAAAATATTAATTTAAGTTTAGTTAAGACAATTCAATTGATTTTAATACCGAAATATATAATGCAGTTGTTTAGATTCAAACTCGAAATATTCTATTTATTAACTTTTCAAAAATGATATTTTAGTCACTAAACTTTTTGAAAAAAAATATTATTTCAATAGTATTTTTTACTCAATAATGCTTCTAAAAAAGAACTTTGTACACGGTAGTATTGTTTTTTAATAAGTTTTTGTGTATAAGACGAAATCACTTTGGCGGGTGGACTAGATTATCTTGACATTTTTCAAGTAAATTAGGATATATCGTGTGTCTTTCTCTCTTGTCAGTATCTTTGTGATCTTTGTTTGAGTTTCACAAAAATCTTTCATTTTTGAAAACCTAATTAAAACCCTTCTTTCTTGTATTTTTCCACACCTTCAATCCTAGTGTCGGTTGGCTCAAGCCGAAAGAGAAGGAATGTGTTGCTGACATGACCTTTAATCTTGTTCAACCGAAAAAATATACTTGCAACATTGAAACGAAAATGACCCGAAAATATATCAAATACCAATCAATTTTATAATATTTGGTACCTCACTTACAAGGCGTTTTAGGGGGAATAAAACTGAGATGCAACAACTCTTGAAACTGTTGGATGGTAACAGTTACGTGTCTAGGTATCGAAGATGCAGTGATGGAGTAACTGTTAGAGATATTTTTTGAACTCATCATGATTCTATAAAGTTGTTTGACACGTTTCCTACGATGCTCGTACTTGATTCAACCTACAAGACCAACAAGTATAAACTTTTTTTATTGGAGATGGTTGGTGTTACCTTAACTAATAAGACATATTCGGTTGGTTTTGCATTTCTTGAGTGTGGAAAAAAGGACAAATTTACTTGGGCATTAGAGGTATCTCAGACACTGTTGGAGGTTCAAGGTGAGATGCCTAAAGCGATTGTTACCAACTACATTGCCACATTGATGAATTCAGTTGCAAAGGTATTTCCTTCTTCCTATGCATTACTTTGTAGGTATCACATAACAAAGATTATGAGAAGTCAGATTAAACCCACGGTAGGGACGAAACAAAACGAGTATGAAGATGGAAAAATGGCGAAGGAGGGTGTGGTTATGGAAAAAAATAATGGATGCATGGAATCATATAATAAATTCTTCCACAAAAGAACTATATGTCGTATCTGTTATGCATTTCAGAAAAGTGTGTGAAAAGTATCCATATTTGTTGAAATATGTTGAATGCACAATTCTTGACCAGGTGAAGGAGAAGATAGTTTGTCGTGGACTGATAGTGTTAGACACCTTGAAAATACAACAAGTAACATACTTGAGTCTGCCCATGCTAGTTTGAAAATTTAGTTGGAAAATAGTAAGGGCGATGTGTATAGAAACTGGGACCCCGTGAACCACATGATTCAAAATCAGCATAATGAGATACAAATAACATTTGATCGAAGTATCACACTTTTGGAACACCGATATAAATACAACACTCTATATTCTCAGTTGGTTAATAACATTTCTCGGGCGAGTTTGAACTATTTTTTTCAAAAGGCTAAACAAGCTGATAATGTAGGCTCCGATAACGCAAAGTATGAATGCACAATTATGAAAACATATGGTCTTTCATGTGCTTGTGTTATTTCTAAAAAGGTGAAATTTTGTGAACCAATAAGAACAGACGAGGTTTGCACTCATTGGAAGAGACTTAGGTTCGATGATGGTGGATGCACGGATGACGGTAAATAGAATATCTCTATTTTGACCGAATGGAAAGTCGTATAATAGAAATTTTTGAAAACTGGCAACAATATGAAACTTCACATCAAACGACAATTGAGGAAGATTTCCTATTCAGAAACCACCGACATGAAACCGCCCTCTCAACCAGTAAAAACAAAATGTACTCCAACGAAAATGAAGCCTACACCGAATAACAATTTGACTACAAGGTCTCCTTCATATTTTGAACACGTTGACAAGGTTTTTCCCAACTCACCGTCTCTGAAATCTCAAAAAAGTGTTGTCAAAGGAGCTTACATTAGCAGACCACCTCCTACGCCGCCTCCACCAAAAATTCCATTCATCGACGAGATGTAGGATTTTATGCACAAATATATTGAGCAGATTGTTAATGTTCTAGGGGATGGTAATTGCGGTTACCGAGCTGTTTCGACTTTACTCAATAAAGAAGAAGATAGTCATACACTTGTTCGCCAACAACTTATCCAAGAGTTGAAGAGACATATAGAATCATACATACAATTGTATAAAAAGAAAGAAAATTTTAATAAAGTTTATGAGTCTTTTGTTCCTTGCTTGAGCGGCCCGACACCGGAGGAAAAGTAGGTGTGTTTCTCTGAAATGGGTCATCTAATAGCATGTGTGTATGATAAAGTGTGTGTTGACCTGACACACTACGGTTTTTCATAGACCTTTTTCCCGGTGTGCATCGCCCTACCTCAAAATCTAAATTATTGTATCATGTGTATAAAGTGACTTTCAAAATCAAGTCATTTTGTTCAAGTTTACTTAAATCGGAATGCCCTATACCACTTACATTATTTGAGTGGACGACTCATTCAACCACAAAATTTGAGACTTGGTCGGGTCATTTTATGGAAATGATGCAAGAATTTGAGAGATTAAACAACATTGAAAAAGAATCAAATGCACAAAAGTCCAAGGGGGTACCACCTATAGATTTAGTCGATGATATATGTTTTGATTCGTTTTAATTTCTTGTTTAACCAGACAAATAATTGTATGTAGTTGTGTCTTAATATAAATGAAATTTTATATGTTCACCTTTTGTTCATATTTTCTCTTTATGCATTTTTAATCTTCCCCATAACAACATTTGTGTTTTTTCAATGAAAAAATATCTTTTGTTTGTGTTCTATTTTGAAACTGGTTTAGGACAAGTTCCGGAGATGCATCTCTGGAAGAAGATAATAGGGCGTGGTTCCGGAGATATATCTCCGAAATCAATATGCTAGTTAATGAGTGGTTCAAATTGATTTATGGTTTTTATATATTTAGGTGTTCTTATGTTATATTTCACACAAACTAAAAATGTCTTCAATGTCACAAATAAACATCTATTGGTAGGATATTGTATGTTACTAACTATGAGCTGACTTAGTTCCATGAATGACTAAGCTGTGAACGATTACATATTTGTCTAATTAATTTTAGAGCATTGTTTTATGAGACATGCATTCATGCTAATGTTTTTTCGATGTTGTGCTACAACTCTGATGAATGTTGATGTTGATGAAAGTGTATGCTCTGATAGTCTTCTGCTGAATGTCATTTATTCTGACTGAATGACTGTTATTTATCTTGAAGAGTTGTTTTGCCGCAATTTTCTAAAGAGGGAGATTGTTATTTCATTTCGATTGACTGCATTTTGCAAAACAACAACATGGAGAAGTGTTCAAGTTTTTCAAGATGATTTTTTGGTGTATAAGGGACACATATTAGACGTGATGTCATTTGTCGGAAACTAAATAATTTGAAAGAGTTAGGAAAACACATAATATCAAAGCTTTAGTCTCAAGAGAATAATTGTTATACACTATCTATGTTAATGTAAAATATTTTATACGGTCAATATATTACAAAAATTTAACTGAAAGTGTAAAATTTATTTACACTATTAGTACATTTCAATTAAATTCTCTCATCAAAGAGTAATTTTAAAATATTTAAAAATAATTTAAAACAAAATTTTAATGATTTTAAATATTTTTGTTTACAATATTGAAAAAAGAATCGACTAACATGTGTCCTATGTTTAAATTAATTTAATAATCAATGTATGAGAGGTGCTCAATTAAAAAATAAAATTATAATTATATTTTAGTATAGAAATAATTATAAAAATAAAATTATAATCATACTTTAGCCTGGAAACTAAATAAAAAAATGAATTTTAAGATTTACAAAATATTAAACCATCAAGATTATAGGAATGGAATCAAAATATATATATATATATATATATATATATATATATATATATATATATATATATATATATATATATATATATATATATATATATATATATATATATATATAAAAGAT